TATATATATATATGAAGTGAATCTATATGGTTTTAAATATTGTTTAAAAGCTAAACGAAAGTAAAAATAATACATTAGATGACATATGATGAAATATAATTGTTTTTTTTTTAATTTATCATTTCATAATTGAACTATATACGTATAAAACTAGTATATAATATTATTGTATTTCTTTATTCGATTTATTTTATTAAAGTCAATCATAGAATTACAAAAGACAATGATAAATATATTTCAATAAATCTTCATATATATATCTATTGAATTCATTGATCTCTAAAAGATAAAAGACTAAGCCTATATATGTATGACTTCTGTTTGATTATATATATATGATAGATCTCGCTTTTCTCTATCGAACATATGATGCTTGAATATTCTCTCTGTGTTGGCTTTTCAAAAATAGCAATGTAAAAACTCAACAGATATGCTCGTTATTTCCTATTTAGCTTTTCGATTCACATTTACATATGTGACAAAGTTTACACATATATGATTTAGACCAAGCATATCAATACCATTGTTTAATTAATGAAAAACAAAACAAGAAACATGTTTCAAATCTTGAATGTTTTATTTGAACATAATCTAAACAATACATTCTTTGTTAAATGCATTTGATATAGCTATGATAAATGCAATTATGTTATCAAATAAGTGACCTTACAAAAAAATTTCTCCTTATCAATAAAAAAAATTTCCGACAAAAAGAAAAATAACATGACTATATGAAAATTATTCACAGATGGCAGCGAAACAAAATAAGAGATTATATATATAGATTGGACGAAGATGAGAATGAATGAAGTGAAATATAATAATTAGACATGAACATTTTAAGTAACAACGATATTAATATACTCGATCTACCAGATGAAATATTACATGCAATTTTTAATAAACTGAATATGGTCGATATGCTCTATTCATTGGTAGATGTAAATCAAAGATTTGATCGATTATCACTTGATTCTCTCTACATATATCATCTCGACTTTTCCATCGAAGCATTCAATAATTATAATTCTTCAATGTATACTCATATTCTCGATAGATTTTGTTCAAAACTTTTACCTCGAATTAATCAAAAAATAACTAAACTCACTGTTGATCCATTATCTATGAAACGTATTCTTGGTGCTGTTGATTATTCTCAACTTTATTCATTATCGTTTGTTAATTTTGAATCAAAAATACTCTTACGACATTTAACAGGTATATGTTTATTAATTTTATTTTATTTCACGAATTACTGATATTTATTTTTGTATTTAAGACAAATCTATGTTACATCTTCTTACTAATCAAATTACACATATTACTGTTGATATTAATAGTGAGAAAACAGAAATATCTAATGAAAATGAAAATGAACCAAATATATTTGAATTCATACTATTACATAGTACATGTTTAAATGATTTGACTTTTTTTCAAAAGTCTTCAAAAAATATCCATCAATTTTATCTTTAAATATTCCATATGGAAGTTCTCTATCTTTATCTCTCACTAAATTGAAAATAAAGATTAATACTTTTGGTGACTGTCTTTATCTTCTTAATGGATATCTCCCATCTTTATCAACATTGATCATTCATATCAAGAAAATTGATCGTTCAACATCGATGATAAATAATACAGTAGGTACATATGTGATTATTGAAATTTATCGATTGTCTCATTTTTTTTAGAAAGAACTTTTTAAATTAAAATGTTTTTCATTATCAACAAATCGTTATACATTTGATTATGATACACAAGTTGTTCCATTACTTCGTCGAATGTTAAATCTTGAAGAATTAACGTTATTTATTTCAGTAATAAGAACTAGATCAGCTTATATCGATGGTAATCAATTGTACGATAAAGTTCTTAACTATATGCCACGACTCAACAAATTTATCTTCAGTATACATACTCAAGTTTCAAACGAATATAGTAAAAAACAAATTGATCTTCCATCAAATGATGACGTTCGAAATAGTTGTACTAAAAGAGGAATTCAATCAATTGATGTATTTGCCGATGATAAACTCATAGAAAATACAGGCAATTGTCATGTTTATTCTCTTCCATATCAATTCAATGATTTCTTATTTATGAACAGCTCTTTTCAAGGTGGAAGATTTGATAAAGTTCGATTGTTATCAATGGATGATATACGTCCATTTGAACATGAATTATTCCAAATTATTTCTCAAGATTTTCCTTTTCTTCGAAAGTTATTTATACTTAATGATATACCACAAAAAAATAAACAATATCATTTATCTACATTAATTACATTTAATCATCTATTTGAACTTGATATTTATTGTGTACACAATGACTATGTCATACAATTTCTTTCTGACAAATACACTCGTTTACCATGTTTGACAAATCTGATAGTTAAATACGAAAAATTGCTAACTGTAACAAATAATTTTACCAATGATGCGGCACGTCTTAATTGTTCGAAAATAAAATCTCTCGTTACATATAGACTATTTGCTGGTTCACAAGATTATTATTCATATTTTCCTTCTCTGTAAACATTGTTTTTATATTAATTATTTGAATAAATAGAATAAAATTTTAATCATTGATTATGTTCTAATGATTACCCAGGACGATAGTTCCTGAAGCAGGATTCCATAAATTTCCGGCGAAAACCCTAAGGAAACTCGCCATTTCTGGGTGGAATCTGGTCGGAAAATGCCAGGAATCCAATGGAGAAGTTAGGTAACCGTGTCTGGCTGCCGGTTTTGACATGTTCCTGTCGGTTCCGATCTAAACCAGATAAATCCGGTCACCGGATCCGCTAAACGGGAATACTGCTTTCATGAAATCTCCGGAATACCACGGGACCGGCCGTTTCCGTGCCGGATTGTTCGACCTGGGTAATATGATAACTTTGATTGTCTTATATAAAAGATTCGAATCGATTCAAAGCGGCATTTCGATAATCGAAAACTGTACATTGACTATTTGTTTTTATTATTCGATACTTTCGATTTCCGTCTAAGAATTTGGTATATAGCAACGAAGAAGAAAAATAAAAGATTCGAAAGAAAATTCAAAGAAGTAAACACATGGCTGAAAATAATGTATATAAGAATACGGTCGGAAAGGTATAATATAAAGTAAAAAATTTCAAAAAATTAATTAAAATCACTGTTTAGTTAAAAATAGCACTCGGTATCGAAAAAGTTTTAAACACACCTTCAATTAACAATGATCAGAAGTCCAAGATGACATCACGATTTGTTGACCAAAGGTCCGACGACCTTTTTAATTTAAAAATGAAAGATTATAGTAAGTTCATTACAATTTATTACGATTGAAAACTGAATTTGTTTTGTAGAATTGGTCGATCACGATAAATATAACAATGAAAATATCAACAAGTTTGCTACAATAACTGATTTAAAAAATTCATATAGATTTCTTGTGGAAAACATCAGTTTGATATCGGATGTAACAGCTCAATATTTATATTCGTTACTCGATGATTTGGAGGAAAAAAATGTAAGCTTTGTTTTCACTCAAAATTGATTGAATTGAAAAAATCTATTTCTAGGATTTCGTTGGAGTAAACTTAATGAGTAAACAATATATGATCTTAAAATGCATTAATAAATTCAAAGAAGAATTATCAAGTCCTGATGAAGCTGTTAAACAATTTTTTGAACAGTATGAGCAAATTCTATTCTAAAAATAAAGTAAATATTTTTATTTAGAATGACTTGTTAGCAGTAACAGTTATTGCTAAGTTACTGCCAACTTATTCGATCACGTTCGTGATCAAACTACTATGTACCCCCCCCCTTTTTCTTAGTGTCTTCGTAGGTTCTCACTAGCTTCTATTCGTTCTTCTCTTTTCTCTCGCCCGCTAGATATTTTCTCTCATTTTATTTTCTCTCTAGTTCATTTTTTCATATTCAGTTGATCTTTTGTCCTAGTCCATATCACTTGTTTTTCCCTCATATCTTCCATCTCCTCCTTTTCATCCCTACCCATTATCATTGTTTGTCCCTTGTTTTTTCTGTTTATTTTCTTTTCATAAAATAAACATCCTGATTGAAGACTTTCTAAGGTAAGAATACTTTTCATTTTTTTTGATTCTTACGGCGTATGTATATATATCAAAGAGAAGACCTAACATGACTGGTCCTTTATTTAAAAAAAGTTTTGATCGTCAACTTAAAAAATTTCGACGAGAAACTGAAGATGCAACTGCAGATGTAAGTTTATTTCACTGGAAAAAAAATTCAATGTTTTTTTTTTAGGCACCATAGCAAACTCAATCAAAGTTGTCGGAATTATTTTTTTCAAATAATATTGCTAGGTGCATCTTTCCTTTTTATTTCTTCATTTGCAAAACGTACTTCTTATTCATCTGTATTAATAAATACTGTTAAAATTGAACCATTTGAAAATAAATTTCTTTGATATGTAATTAACAGATATCTTTTTTATAATATTTATTTTAATATTATGTCATTGTTTTCGTTATCATAAACATGGTGTTTCAGCGAACTATTGTATTTTTTTCTTATATAAATATATATATTCTCTTTCTCGTAGAGAAGAGTCCAGTAAACATAAATTGTTTGTTTGCTTGCTTGCTTGTCTATCCGCAGAGTCAAAAAAACATTGAAATTTAATTTTTCAGATACCTCCAGAAAAATTTGGCTGGGGGGTAATCGAGGGCGGGGAACTTGAATCTGAGGTTAGTTTATTAAAATTAACTAGTTAATAATTAGTTAATAATCAGTTAATAACTAGTATTATTATATGTTCGAGTAAAGTTTCACCGAAGGGTAATCGAGTGTGGAGAATCCGAATGTGAGGTTAATTTTAGTTAAAAATCAATTGATAATTAATTAATATTATAAATCTTAAAGATAGTTCCAAGATAGTTTTGCCAGAGGATAATTCGTGAATCGATTTTTTAGAAAAGACATTTTTGGGGCATTTCGATGCGGAGACTTCGAATCTGATGTTAGTTTTATAAAATAATTTTATGGGTCACTTTTTTTAGGGAGAGAATCAGTTTTTATAAAAAAAAAAATTTCATAAAGGGTGACTGAAGAGTAAGTGGGGTGGAAGAACACAAATCTGGTGTTAACTTTTCCAAACTGTTTAAGCAAAAAGTTTAGTATTGTAGAATACGATTTCTACGAGAAAGAGCTGAGAGAGTCCGCAGACGAGCGTTACTTGTATATATAATATACAGACATCTTTTGAAGATCAATATGAAATTTTGTCCTATTCTCGTCGGCTAAATAGTCTTTTTTGATTCATCAAGTCACATTCAATTATCAAAATATATTGACTTTATTTTATTCACAAAAAATCGGACGAAATAATGCAAAGAGAAGATCGAATCTGAGGAAAAAACGTTCTTCATTTCAAAGAAAATAACATAGATAATAGAAATATAAAACACAAAACACAACAAAATGGTAAATAATATTTGTACTTATATTTTATAACGTGTTCACTTTTTCTTATTCACAATAAAATAATAATGATAATGATAAAATAGTTAGAGCTATTTTACCTATTTGAATAATTTCTAAATGGCTTGTTGTTCATGTTTAAGGACAAACTGTGTTTTATCTTATAGATGAAAATGAAAGTATTTTTTTATTTTTGTTTTAAAATAGTTTGTACAAAAAAATATGTCTACATCATTTAAATGAAATTTACACTATTAGGACACAAAGTAACATAGTTAGAAATGATTAATCACTCAATATCCAACTGAAACAAAAGTTGAATAAACATTGATTAGTCCGTTTTGCTAATGGTAATGAGTTAATAACATCCTTTAGATCCAAACCACTAGGATCGTAACGTTTTATACATTCTTCGTAAAAAAGAACATTAGATGTTTTTGACTGAAGTAAAGTTCCATTTTCATCTTCGACTGAACGTCGAAGTTCTTCAAGTTTGCTGTCAAATCTTTTTTTGTATTTTGGTTTTTCCATTGTAAATAAAAAGTTTTATTTATATTTTTATTGAAGAATCTTATCATACCTCTGAAAAACTTCTGTAATGAGTTTATGTATATTTCCGGGTATTATATTTGATTCTGTTTGATTAACTAGTGTTGCATTAACTAATGGTGTTGGATTAACTAATGATGTTGGATTAACTAATGGTGTTGGATTAACTAATGGTGTTGCATTGGATTCCGTTGTATTTGGTGCTATTAAATTTGATGTTGTTAGATTAAGATCATTGATACATTTAATGATCATTAATTGATTAGTTAATATGTGTACACCCTCAAAATCCTAAAAATAAATTTTTTGGTTCAATCAGTTTGAATAAAAAATAAATCTTACATTTTCTTTTTCTAAATCTGTTAAATATGAGTACAGGTACTTGATTGTTGATTGTAATACTATATTGCTATTTTTAGAAAGCTAATCTCAGGACCGATGTATATCATTTCATTTGAATCCAGATAAGACAATCCTGCCCGAAAGCGATTGATTTCAGGCAATTCCGAAGATTCTATGGAAGCAGTATTCCGGTGAACGGATCCGATTACAGGATCTATCAAGTTCCGTCCGAAACTGACAGAAACCTGGCGGAAATGGCAGACGGATACGGTCACCGAATTCCTGCGTCGAATTCCTGGCATTTCGTTGCTGGTTTCGGCCAGAAACGGTCTGTTTTCTGCGGATTCCAGTCGGAAATTCATGATGTACTGCTTCAGAACTCATCGACTTGCGATATTCTTCATTATTCATTCTAAATAAAAAAATTTATTGCTATTTTGATTAAAGAATTTGCTCATACTGTGCAAAAAATTGTTCAACAGCTTGATCAGAGTTTGATAATTCTTCATTTATTTTATTGATTGATTGTATTATCATGAATTGGTTAGTTAATATGTATACTCCGACAAAATTCTAGAAATAGATTTTTTTAACTTTAACAGCTTTAATTAAAAAATGAAGCTTATTTGATCCCGTTCCAAATCCCTTAAATAATTATATATATATATATGTTTTTGTTTCTTCTGATACTAAACATATATTGTCAATAATATATTCATGAGATTGATCAATGTTAATTATTATAGCAAATTTGTTAATTTTTTCATTACGATATTTAACATTGGGACCAATTCTACAAAACAAATGCAATTTTTAATGGTGATAAGTTCTATTCAACTTACTATACTCTTTGACTTTTAACTTAAAAAGGTCTTCGGATCTATCACCAACAAATCTTGATGCAATTTTTGACTTCTCAGTATTGTTGATTGTGGGAGTGTTTAATACCTTTTCAACACCGATTCCAATTTTGAACTAAATAGTAATTTTTAATTTATATTATACCTTGTCGGTGAACTCTTTATACTCATCACTACTTTCAGCCATGTTGATCTAAAAAGTAGAAGAAATTACTTTAACTTTACGAATTGAACACGCCCACACCCAAGATATATACACGTGAACGATCCATATCAATGAATGAAGCAAAATTGTTTGTCATTTCATTTGAATCCAGATCGAGCAATCCGGCCCGAAAACGGTCGATTTTAGATGATTCCGATGAACGAATCTGGTCACAGGATCTATCCAGTTGTGTTAGAAGCTGACGGGAATCTAGCAGCCAGATATGAACACCAGATTCCTTCGTCAAATTCCTAGCATTTTTTTGCTGGTTTCGGCTAGAAACGATCTATTTTGTACGGGTTTCCGCCGGAAATTCACTGTGTACTGCTTCAGAAATCATCCTTCTGGGCGTATTTATCAATATTTGCAGCCAATTCTACAAAAAATTCAACTCTTAATACTAATAAATTGTATTGAACTTACTATACTCTTTGACTTTTAATTCAAAAACATCTGTAGAAGTTTCATCTACAAATTTTGCTGCAATTTCCGATTTTGCTTTGTTATCCATAGTTGAATAGCCGATTGCTTTCTCAATAAAATTGCCTAATCGTAGCTAAACAGTGATTTAACGAAAAAAATTTCAAATTTCAAGTTTATATTTTACTTTGTCAATTGACGGTTCATAATCATCAGTACTTTCATTCATGTTGAAATCATTATATTGAATATGTTTTAATTGTTTAAGATTAATTAAATTGAATTTTTTGAGCTTCATTTCAATCTACAAGAATTACTTAATGAAATTTATCAATTTTAATAATTGAATACATTCATCAAATGATGATAAATAATATTTATACTATTTATGTAATTAACGAAGGGAATCTATTATCAGAATGATCTTATTCTCCGTTCTCTTATATTTATTTTCGTCGACGAAATTTTTTTTTCTTCTTCGCTACTAGGGGTCCTCATGGGATGGGATGTACCACGGAATCCCATGGGATGGGATGGGATAAGTCTTGCCTCCCATGGGATATGTGATTGCTTTTTTTTAAGTAAAATATTGTTCTGAATAGAGGTCGCATTTGACAAGCGGTAGACATAAGTAATATATTCGTCGCTTTTCTGTATTGATTAATGATTTTTACTCTAAACATTATCAAACAGATAAATAAAGGAATGATAAAATTAGAAAAACAGAAAAGGAAATCTAAATATTATTAGATCAATAGTATAAAATATTTCATTATCTTTCGTTATAATATTTACTCAATATCATTTGTCGCTGGCTTTAACTTATATTTTTGTACTGATGTATATGATTACTAATTTTTTTTGCTGATAATTAGAGCTTTTGTTTGGTCTTATTAAGGGGAAGAAGAGGGAAGAAATTAGAGAGAAAGTCTCCCGAAATCAGAGAGAAATGATCTACAGGTCATAAGAACTCTCCTCTTTGCGAGAAAACGGCTAATTCTCCTTGAAAACTATTGTGAAAGTCTTTTTCTACGCCAAAAACAATTGATTTTAGTCAATTCTTCAAAATCTCTTTCTCTTTTGAAGAAAGTTTTCTCTTTTGCATGAATCCTTTAAATCAGTGCTATAAAGAATACCGAAAAGTAGCCAATAAAGAATTTTAGGGGAAAAACTATAGCAGAACAAAAAATTTAGCGGGAAGATATTTCCCTACTCCCCACCCTAATCGTATGGCCTGTTGGTAATAGTATTGTTGTTTTGTATTTTCTTATTTTTTTTGCTACTTTGGGAAAGTATACTATTGTATACAGAAAAGTATTATAGTAACTTTTATTTTACATGTATATTTATAAAAAAAAGATTATCATAAAGAGTGTGTCATAAATGGAAATGATTATTTGATTTAATAAATCATATTCCAGAGCTAAATTTATTTTTCAATAGAGTTTTGTTACAGTGCGATATATCCCATGGGATGGAATGGGATTGGCTGAGTCGTATCGTCCCGTGGGATAAAAAGTCTATTCTATCCCATCCCATGAAGACCCCTGGTGTATATGCAATATCCTGAGATTTATTTCTCCTCAGCGAAACATATGTCGTAAATTTTGAACAAAATATAGAAATACAGTATGATGAGAAATATACTGGTATCATTAATCTAATCCAACTTTTATATTGATTCTTATTTCCAGTTAAAATTCTCCTAATTTGATACTAGCTGAATAGGAGTGGAATAGCATAGAAAAAAAGTATTGTCTTTTCTCTTATTGTATAAAAAAGAAAACTTCATTCAAGTTGCTACTCCAAAATATGGTATTTCCAATAGAAATTTTGAGCTGATTCAGATGATTTTTAGATCTTATGATCATACTTAAAAAATAGTTAATGTCCTTTATTTTAATTAGCATCTAATGTACATCTCTAAGGAATGTTAAAAATATTTTATTATCATTAAAACATGAAAATAAATTAATCAATTTATAATTATTCAACTCTTCTCAATCAACAATACGTAAAGATAGAAATATTTCTGCTTATTACTATAAGTAGTTTCATCATTTACTGAATAGGGATGTGTATATATGCCAAAGATTAACGTTTTATTACAATATTATTGAAAAAAAACTCCGATTCTCGTTCTGAAATGTGTACTGAAATTATTTTTGTAATAGTTATTAATCGGAAATATTTCATAAAAAATGTAACATACGGAGGTTTATGTAATTAACGCTTTTCAATCTCGAGAAGATTCTTTTACAGAATTAGATCCATTTTTATACTTGAACGAGTATCTCTGTTGTGTTAACAGTAAGCATGACAAATGAGATTTGTTTAAAAGATATTCACTCAAGCGTTTTTACATCCAAAATACTTTAATTTATCAGAGAAACTATTGAACCTTAAAGGACATCATTAGTAAAATATTGTTATGTCTGATAAAAGTATTCAGATAAATATATTTCTTTTTTTTCCTTTTCTATAAATATGATTTATAAAGATCAGTTTTAGTATTCACGATATGTATAGTATTAATCAAATATTTTATCTATGAGAAGTACAACACTATATTATCTTTTCCAATCTTCAGTCGATTTTTATCAGCCATGTGTTCATCGAATGAATCATAAAGATACAGAGAAGAGTCGTGTAACATTTCATGAACGATTGCGTAGTTTTTTTAATAAAATTTAAATTGAATTGACTTCATCTGCTTCGACTAATATTTTTGATTTAAAGCTAATATTACATTAAGATTAAAAGTAAGATTACTTGAATATAATTTTTTCTTAATCAACTTCACATTATAATGTTTCTATTAAGAAAATGTTATGTTTATGTCAATTTTCAATGAGTATCAATTAAGAAATATTTAGAAAGTATTTGTATATTTAGTCCAAATAGATTTATGAAACTCTAATAGAAAAAAATTGTTTCCTCACAGAATAACATATCTGGAAAAAGACTTTTAATTCATCTATCGTATATACTAATATTATATTAGCAAGAAAAAAGTACTCGGATACCCAAAAATTATTTTTAAAGAACTTATTTGTAATTCTAAGAAACAAAAATATTTCCATGAAGCATAATATAATATATGTTGACAATAGTAGCTTCTTTATTAATTTATCATTTTATGTATTTAGAAATAAAAATTAAAATTTAGATTACTTGTTATTCAATTATCATTTCTTTTCAAAACTTTCAAAAGAAAAATGACAAGTTCAGTATCTTATTTAACATTTCTACAAAATTA